CAAATGTTTTCAGAAAAAGAAACCGGTTTGGCCACGCAGTCGGAATTGGCTATGGATAGTACCAGTTACAACAGCAGGCGCTGCACTGCGACTGAGCTAACGGAGACTGAGCAGACGGCGATTTCGTCGATGCCCATCGAAGGGTGATATCAGGAACGGTGACTTGCGCTTGAATTTGTTTATACTGATAGTTGACATGCGCAGCATCTACCGCACCTGGGCCCGGTGTCAAGACAGAGTCAAGAAGACCGGAGATGGGAGAGGACGCAGGGGACTGACACGGCGTATACCCGCACTTGGCCTACCACCACACTCCCTGGTCCACAACATAGGATGACCGTGGTTTTATATACCAAGCAAGAAGGGGTGGTAGTGTCAGATCCCACTTGACATGACGTGAGCATGTAACTGGACCTGCCACCAAACCCTAATGTCGGCAGAGGTTATGGGTGCGCATTCTCGATAAGGCCTGCCGGACTCCGATCTAGTCCCCGTTTTGGTCCTGCGCATTTACCGCGTGGACTGTTTTAGAGGCAGGACGTGTGTGACTAGCGTAGACTGACCGTCTGTCTCTGCTAACCACCGCCCTAACGTGCATCTTCAGTTGTATTGACTTCGTCTGAACTCGGTAATTTGGGGAGAGGGAGACAGGTAAATGCAGCCGTCCTCTGAGCCGCTTGCACATTCCATGCAATAATAAGAACCATCCTACTAATTATACTGCCGTGACATTTGATTCGAGAAACTTATCGTCATCGACCTTACGCCTCGATAAACTTTTGGTCGTTCTGCAGACCCACTACTGAGACCGAGGGACGAATACATATGAAGGGTGTAGACTAGGGAGGTGGGGAAATGTCAGGCTCCCTCTCCTCGGTCAAGTGACACGTCAAACTTCTGAAGTTGACCGAAATCTGTAGGGTTAATGGTGAATTTCTCAGAGATTGTGCTTGTCCACGATGCACTGCAGGGCAAAGACCACAGGCTTGTGATCTGTGAATTCCCCTTCTTCGTTTCCGTGTCGAAAGTGATTCGGATTCAGGTAGAAGACTAGGAGTTTCCACCCACATGTACGGCAGTGGATCTTAGCGGGCGAAATATTGTGGGAGACGGAACTCAAAAGTTGGGTAGTACCTGCATGTTGCTGAGGTACAACAAGAAAGACAGTATTGAAGGCATACGTTGTGAGAAACGGACACGTTTTGGAATGGATAAGCAGCCAAGCATTTTTTCATGCTCTATGCTTTCCAATTTTGAAAATTTCAACGTGTTTCCGCTTACCTTTCCCCACAAACCCACGTGATAGGTTTGTTCCCGACAGTCAAAACAAAACACTCGCCACTTATCGTCATTCTACAAGCAGGGGATACGCCGGTGGATAAACGACAATGGTCTTCGTGGGGATGTGGCACCAGGCTTCTTCTTCTTCTTCTTCTTCTTCTTCTTCTTCTTCTTCCTCTTCTTCTTCTTCTTCTTCTTCTTCTTCTTCTTCTTCTGCTTCTTGTACGCATACATTTCTGTCAACTGACTGCCTTCAGCTGTGTGGAATAGGATCCGTTGGCATTAGTTAGCCAACGGGTGCACAGGGTTTCAACTATATTCACACGTTCTCGAGGGGTGTGCGAAGAGTAGTTAAGTGCTTTGTGCGTTATTGCGGCGGCCCACAGAAAAAAAGCAAACATCTAACAACAATATTCCATGCGTGACGCACCTCCCCGTTCTCAGGGTTTAGCACGTCGATATGAGACTTCGTTCAGCTGTCCTCATAAATCTTTTCCTTTAAACAGCTCACTTCTTCAGACGATTCGAGTTAACCGGCTCCAACAACCCGCATTAGCTTACGGGTGACAGGACCAAGAAAGTTCATTGAGTGATTAGGTGTCGTTCTCGTGATCCTGGGTGTGTAGCGAGGAGTAGCTCTTTCACTCAGCACCGATCATGGTTATCTTGAACACAACTCATTTTTGACAAGGGTAGTAGAGAGGTCACGCTTCTCAGAAACGGTTGGTGATCGTCATGCATACCGACCGTCTCTTCCTTTTGATTCCGCCGCACTACGTTATACTTACGCCTTATAATAAGCATTTGCATCTTTTGTACTCAGCTGTCAGGCTCAGTGATGCGGCCGACCTTCCACGGCAGAGCAGGCGAGCGGCCATTCCGAACAGAACATACCATCCCACCACAGTCTCAGTAGGCGCGCCTGCAGTCTCAGGACACAGTCCCACGGCTGTTCCCGAGATGAACCAGAAGCGATCTTTGAGGAATTTTATGATCGGAAAGTTATAACTTGGGAAAATAGAGGCGATTGTGAGGGGCTTCGCCTTTTAACAGTCGACATTTATAAAAGTAAGCCCCTCACCAAGATCTACCTCACCCTTATACTCATTTTTTTATTCATATGCATAAGTAGCTTTCCGTGCTGGCAGTTACCTACACTTTAGTACTTGTTCACATCCATGAAACGGAGCAACCGCCGTAGTTAGTTGGGCTCAGGGAAACGAGCTGTATCACGAAAATCTATTAAAGGTACAACCATCTCAATTTGCAACAAAATTGAAAAGACCCCACGTAGAATCCGTGATCCCAATATGGCCACTGAATTTCCAAATGTGTAAGGGAACATGCTCTCGCGCGCTGCTTACTTGTCCCCATTATTTCAATCGTTAGGCCGTATTGACAACCTCTTACCAATCAAACTCTCTCTCTTATGCATAATATTAATTACCAGCGGAAATGCACGAGCAGCGCCGTAAATTGTTTGCCTACTTGTTTTCGCGACGACGTTCATGAAGGCTAATTTTACGAAACAGCAACATCCAAAAACTGATGCCCAACTCTGTTCACTCGGTGCCAGACTCCTTTGTTTTGTCGGATTATGCAACCGGAGGGCAGCGGGGATAGACATTTAGTCGGAGCTGACAAGAAAATCATGTCTCACCCACAAAATAAGTCGTTTTCCCTTGCTACTGAATTAATGAAGGTAGCTTAGAATAACTGCCAAAACGATAGTACCGAAAGTCATCAGCTGAACGTCTTCGGGTTTAAGGGTCTGAGGTGGGGGTAAGGTCTAAGTCTACATGACCATAACGCTAGCCTTTTTCCTAACCCTAAGTTGGTGCTTAATTAATCCGAACTCGATAACACGTTACAATTATCCTTCCCTGCTTCCGCGAAATAGGTGGCATAATTGTGCAGATTTTTTCAGCTTTTTAAATTGTTTCATTGGTGGATCACGGTTACAACTAGGGCATTTCGCACACAGAGCACAAGTCTACTTAGGCGCTCCCATAGGTTCTTTATCCGACGTAACCCACGGTTTCGTCAGACAGTGATACGCTCAAACCAATATACGTCACTCACGGAGGTCTTATCGTCGCGCATTTCTTAGGTTCTTTTTGCTACTTTTAATACTTCCACCCATAGAACCCCAATTCATACTACATTCCCAGCAATAGTGGCTTATCAGTTTACTCTAAGGATGGGATGACGACAAGGATTTCTAACCTCGACAGTATTTACCACGGATGACATATTTCCAAATAATAGACATATCTGAATCCACAGGTCATGCTTCACGCCCTCACAGGAGAATTATCTTAACGGGAGTCCTGTAAACTGGCAGTCTAGTTTTTTTCCTATATCCCACAAAGTCCTAGAGTGTCGGTGAGGGTTGTGTTGACCTGATGCCAAATTTTCCCTTGATTTGACTCGTTTAATGGGGAGGTCATTTCGGACTCTTGGAAGCTGTTAATTACCTTGTGAACCCTACAATCGACCGCGATGGAACAGGTATCTGTAAGTGTGAATGCCGAAGCAAACATTTTCGTCTTCGAAGAATTATGTTTATGGTCAAGCCTTGACGCTCACACGGGGAGCAGCAGGTTACGCTTCTACGAGTGAACTCAACAGCAACACAACGGCGTTGACATGATAAACCCGTGAAACATAGTTCCCGATCTACAGTTACTACGGAATTGTCTATAAATTCGTTCTGAAGATGGCGGTCCAATAAGTAGTCGTAAAAGTAATGGTAAAAGAACACATTCCTTGCACTCTAGATGTGGCATCTTAGGCAGCACTTTCTCCATAATTTGTTCGAACTTCAGTCCTCAATAAGTGACGGTGCACTTGAGTCAGTCATAACAAGTTCGGTGGCCTGTCGTCATTCTACAAGATTGACCGCAGAAAACCTCGACGAACGTGCTTAAACCCAACACCAAACCCCATAAAACATGATAGTGGTCGTTGATAGGATCGGGGATTGGCAGGAATAAAATGTTATGTCTTGGTTTATCCAGCCGATGGTTACCCGTTTACACACGAAAACTATGCACGGGGAGGATTGAGGAAAGTTTAGCCGTGCCTTCAAGATGACGGTTGTTATCATGATAATTGAAGGGTGATCTGTCACAGCTCTCAAAAGTCAGTTCAAAGTCGGTTTTGCTTTGTTTTCTGCATCTGGTTTATGTTTCCTACAAATTGGGTCGAAAGTTTGTCCCGACGTTTGGCTGCCATTCTCGGAAAAGGGGCAGCCTGAACAAGATGCTTTGTTATTATTTGATTCCACTTGCACCAGGAGTCTATGCAGCCGGTGATTGTGCATTATGCCGTCAAGTCACAACGATACGGAATCCTGTCAGATATGAAATAATTTTTTTAAAAGGATGTAGGAAATGTCATTTGTGCTATATTTGCTTTTCGTGCCTTAAAGGGATATGTTATAGAGAACGGAAGGGAAGTGGAGTCAGGCCTAAATCGAAAGAAAGATGTGACCATGCATGCACAGAAGGCCCCGCCGGCCACGAGATGCATGCATGAAATCAGGCAGCCAATCAGCATGTACTGCAGCCTCCACTGCTCGCACTGCACATGCACATTCGCTCGCCGCATGGCGCACCCATAAAAGCGGAGCTCATCGCAATATCGGCACCCCAAACATACCATGCGTGCCGGACAACGCTCCTGTATCCGGCACTAAGAAACACCCATCCACCAGCATGACCACGGCTAACAGCCTCACCACCCCGACCTATTCTGCCCTCACTGTCACTGCACAGGTACATTAAGCATTGGCCTGGTCAGTCACGTGCGAGTCCATCGTACAGGGACTAGCAAGCCAGAGCTAGGTGCAACACCGGACCCGCCTGAAGTGCCCGCATGGTCCTCGCACATTCAGCCGCCGCACGGGTCTACTAGGTCACATGCGCCTTCATGGAAACCTGCGTTAAATCTCCGCGGACACGACCACATCACCCCATCAACACATGCATCACACACACGCCCCTCCAATATCCAACTTCAGCAGCATCCCTCACGTAAGTGGGAAGTATGCTTTTCGGTTCCTTTCTCTGTGTGGCTCCTCTGCTGCAAATGAGACCTGGGCGCTATATCGCCTTGTGTGTGAAATCATGGTGTGTGCGTTTCGGGTGGCTGGGTGGTGTATGTGCTGCTAAGGAGGCCAAATCCGTCGATACAAGGATACTCTGAAGGCCTCCTTCAAGGGTCTGCAGATTAACCCGTCCAACTGGGAAGACCTCGCTCGAGACTGGCCGACCTGGGGGAGGACAGTGAAGACAGGCGCTGCGATCTACGAAGCTAACCGCAGCGCCGCCGCCAAAGTCAAACGCAAAGCACGCAAGTCCTAGCTGCGCCCACTTCGCAATGCCAACGCAAAACCGCTACCAACGTGTCCTCGGGGTCAACGGATATTCAGGGCGCCAATTGGACTTGCTGGACAACTTTGAACCAATTGCGCCACTCGGGCTGCACCAACCGTCGTCCCTCCCTCCCTCCACCTCTTCCTCGCCCTCTACGTCGCCAACTGATTCTGACTGTGCTCCTGAACGACCACATCCATCCATCGTCGTCCTTCTCCTCCCCCTCCTCCTCCTCCTCCTCCTCCTCCTCCTCCACTACCCCAACATTTGCCGTTGTGGTGTCTGTCAAGCACATCAACATTACACACAATCCTGACACACCGGAAAACACCAAACGCACCACCGTCGACGTCAGTGGTGTGGACCCGGCCTATACGTGTCCTCATTGCGACCGCACTTTCACCTCACACATCGGCTGGTCAGTCACTTGTGAAATCATTGCACAGTGACTGGCGAACCAGTGCCTGGAGCACCAACTTACACCCGCCGCTTCCGGATCCACTGTCCACATTGCCCTCGCGCATTCATGCACCTCATGGGCCTATTCGACCACATGCGCATCCACGAAAACCTGCGGTGGAAGACCGCCGGCTGCTCCAGACCATCACATCCCTACCGCCATCTCACTGTACACAAACACTACCCACCGCAAGCACCAAACTGTTACCGCCCACTCAAGCGAGAAGTGCGCATCTCGACTCGGTTTCCGTGCGGCTCCTGTTGCATGGGTGACTCCAGCCTGAGACTATCCCGACGCGTCAAGCTCCGTGGATTGGAAGGCTGCTGACTGACGCCCCAACTCAGTCCACGTAGTCCGTCCAGTTGTGTGTGTGTGTGTGTGTGTGTGTTGTGTGGAGTGGAGGACTGGTGGGATGAGAGCCGGGTTGAAACAGCTCCTTCCAAGGCACTCTCACGCAAGTGAGAGGTGCGCACTCAACACCCGTTGTGTGAAATCCTGGTGCTTGCGTTTGGAGGGCCGGATCTTGCATGTGATGCGCGCAGACAAGGTCACTAGACTATGTCCGCCACCGCGCCCATTCCCCGCTCCAGTCAACTGACCGGCCTGGACAGTGGCTGAGGCATGGGAATGGGAAGGGAGATTGCGGTCGACGACTCAGCGCATTTTCCTAATTATAAACAATCTGACGCGCTTGAAACTATCACTTTGCGCTGGAAGCTATGACTGGGAAGGTTACCAACTGACGGGATAACTTGGACCTCGCAGTTGACACAGTTTTGTGTGTTTGTGTGGAGTGGCCGGCCGGTGGTCTGAGAATCAAGCTGCAATGGCTCCTTCTTAATGCGGCCTTTATGGCTCTCCTACTCCGTGGGATCCGAGCCGGGTGTGGCGGCACACCTAGGTGCGAATCCGGCCGCGCCAGCCTCCATTGTCTTCATTGCTGTTGGTCAAAAAACCTTGTTATTTGTTGTGTTGACTAGGGGGTGTGGGGTGGAACGCCAAGGTGTGGCCTCGACCATGCAATCCACATGCGCACGTCCCCTTCTCCGGCCTTCTTGACTCTGTCTTGACACCGGGCCCAGCTGCGAGAGGAGACAGCGAGGTAGGTGCTGCCCAAGTCCCCTATCATTATAAACTGATTCATGCATAAGTAATTGCTCCTGCTCTCACCTTAATGCGGAGCACACGGTGGACGTCGTCGTAACGGATGGTCGAACTGAAACTGCAGCAATGAGAACACCTGATGACTTTGCCTACGCGTGTTCAATGGCCGGTCGAACATCCGAGCTTTACTGCAAGGATTCTCGCACGAGCAACGATCAATCTACGACCAGGAGACCAGAGTGCTTTGGAATGCTGAGGACTACAAATGAATAAGGTGAGTTTTGATGAGCTGTAAACCGCGTTCTGCAGGCTGAGAATAAGACGACTGCCCGCAGGACCCGATCTGCCTTCTCTTCTATCATACCCGAGGGGATATAACAATTGGCGACGCACTTGCGAATTAAACGGACTGACCACGAGTTTGCGTCTTATAGTGCCCGCTAGTTATGATCTGCAGCTCGTTGACTTAGTATCGGAGACGAAAGTTAGGATCTCGAAAATGAATTCATCCTCAGCGTGGGTGGTTTTTAACTCCTTCTTCGACCTTTGCTGCCTATATGACCATTCGAAATTCGACCGGCGGAGAATGCGAACTGATATATCCGCCGTTCGTGTTGAAGCCAGGTGGCAGGAATATGCGGCTCACTTGTTTATTTCATGCCAAGCAGACCTGACCCGCGCTGGTGAACGCAGGTCTCTAACTAACGCCCATTTGGGATTGAAAGTCGGTCATGACAGTGGCCATGATAGCATGGCGGCATTGGGAATATGGCGTGACACGTGCGAGAGACAAATGATGTATGGACGGACCCCAGATGTGCCAATGAGGGGCCAGCCAAAAGAAGAACCCGCCCGAGGCAGGGAGGAGAGAAAAACGCTATGTCATCATGGCTAATGTAGTCTTGCTCCTTGAACCCGAGGAGGGCAGAAAAGGTAGACAGGCATAATCGGTATGCCTTCTAACCATGATCCACATCATGCGCAAGTGAATGTTATTCATGAAGTTGGAACCCATTTAGAACGATGTATTAACCACAGCTATTAGGGCCAGATTCACATAGGTACTGAACAAGGGAGTTCCTGAGGGTCAAGTCGGTTGATGAAGGGGGAGAATTCCGTCTCGTCTTTCGATCGGAAACGACCGATAAGATTTGACCATTGAAAGAGTTGCGTAAAATCATTAGCTGGCGTCTAAAAAGTGGGGCTCCTTACAGTTCTCGTTTCCATCGATTGGAATCTACCATAAACCTCCTTTCTGTGTCAATGTTGTCTTGAGTCTTGTCGGGTCAATGAAACTGCGAACACCATGGTAAGAACCGACTTAACATCCTGGGACTTGGAACAAGAACCTTCCGATTGTGACTGTCTAGGAACTTGTAGCCGGTCCAAATGTGCAGGACTAGGTTAAAACCTGTATAACAGAAAGAGTATGCAATTATTACTCCCCGTTGATTCATAAAGGACAAAAGTGATTTTCCTCAACCGAACGTTGTGCTTTAGCACATGACTCCTAATCTCACAATCCATAATAACTTTTCGCATTTCACCATTCATTCTTCCGGTTGGACTGCCTATAGTTATACACGGACTTACAAACACAAAAATCAGTGACTTTTAGGCAATACGTTAGACTGATTATCGGCTCTAGTCCGTATACTTACCTTATACATTACTTTCCAACATCCTCCAACATGTTTGCCTCCACGGAAACAAAGCCGAAGTATCACGGGAATAGTTTCCACTTTCCTTGTATAGAACCTAATGATCAAGTGCGCCGAATTCAGAGGGACGAGAAGGGGCCCTTGTCGAGTAGGTGGAAGGGATCCCTACCAACAAATTGCGGATACTATTTAGGCAATACCTGACGCACCAAAGGCAACTATGTCGCGACTTTCACAGTCATCCATGGTGGGCGTAAATTAGGAACTACTTCCTGCGTATGCTACTCTTCGAGCACACTGAATTATCAGACCTTCATTTCACACAAACATAACGGCAAGGAGTTTGCTTGCAGTTTCGCTTAGAAGTATTCACCGTTTGAGGTAACATGCGGGCGTTCGGTCACTCCGAAGTTCGCGTTGCAAAAAAGGTTGGCGTCATGTAGAAAATTAATGATTTGCTGACGGTGGCGGGCAACAAATTCTGGCTGAATTTGGAAAGTTTTCTAGCAAAGCCTTTCGTTCTATACCAAGAAACTGCTCATTGTAATGTCCCAGGCGCGACTTTTGGCACAAAACGCTTATCATTTTATAAAGTGCTCAGATATCTTCATAAAATCACTAATTGCTCCCACAGTACTTTGAAACCGCATTATTTCCAAATCCACAGGGTAACTTGAGTGCTTTTTTCGAACAGTTATTTTTCGTTTTACTTTCAAAGGCACATTCATAAAATCGCGAGATTAGCTGACTTACCGGCGTCGGACAAAAGTCACACCCACGCTAAAAATCGTTATGTTTACTACGTATTATTCCAAGAACTGTGAGCCCTAGACGCTGTGGAGGTAAAGTAACCGACGCATTTCCGCTATAAAAATATTTAAAAGCAGTACGTATCTTAATTAAACGGAAAATCTTTTTGCGACAAACTAAATATTTGCCCAGGCAAACAACGCTTGCTAAAAAAACTAGAAGTACACACTTCTGGGAGTGCTTTCGTGTTTGGAATTTTTCAACTAAGCTAACTGACTACCAGCACGAGGGCTTATAATATGAAATAAAAAGACCCAACTTTCATCCACAAACGAACATTAGGATAGATAAAACTAGACCCGCTTATTATACACGAAATAATTTAACTTTAAAGTTAACCATAGACGTCCTCAGTTCAGGGTATCGATCGTAATCAGCGTGCGTCATTGCTGTCCTAAGCAGGACTGCAGGCGAATATGGACGTTCATAGATTCATTGCTACCTTTAACCATGCCGAAAGACAGGAGTGCTTCTTCCCGGAATTAACTGGTGGTAAACAAGGTGTTGTTCCATAGGTTCTGTGGGCAAAGGAAATTAACTATCCGAACGTCCACAAAAGAAAGTTGGCACAGGACGCTAGTAATGGTAAGAGTCAGCGGGAGATCTGCTAATAATTGCCAGTTTAAACACATCCAGAGTGAGTGAAATCGGCGAAAATTTAGCTGGAATCCCATATCTATGTTAGCTAGAGGTATCAATCACGTTAGTTCACATAGTCTAGGAGAAAGACGAAGCGCAGATACTGCTGAAACACATTCTACCATTCCGATTATGTTTAAAAGCACATGAACGAAAGAAACGACATCCTGTCAAATTGCTCATACAGACTTTTTGGGTTACTAAAATATGCTGATTGAGCGGAAATAACAATCAGGAGTTAAAGTCGATTGATATCCACGATAGTAGGACGTTATGGACCCCGCAAACCAAGGAAGCAAATTCAACCTCGTCGGAGGGGATAGGTAGTTAGTAGAAAGCAGGGGTAGGAGTGCTTGGTTGGTATGACACTATAAAACTGATCGACCAGTCGGCAAGAGCTGTAAAGGTCTGCAGGTCACTCGCCAGTGGCGATGACGAGCAAGAGGGTGAACGTGTGCAACAGTCGACGCGTGACCTTGAAGGGGTGACAATTGTGATCCGGGTCGATAGGCGGTTCCATAGGCTATCAGGCGGCATCGGTAAATGAGTGCTTCGTTTTTATCTGTGTGACAGGAGTCTAGACACAGTGGGGGAATATAAAGGCAACCCCCCAGATTAAACATGTTAAATGACCTCTTTCCTCAGGGGCAGACAGCGTCCAATTAGATAATTATGTTCAGCGTTCTTCAATGACTATTCGTAACCTGTAGTGTGCAACGAAAAGGGAGGATGGTCGCAGCTAAGGCTCATGCCTGCAAGGTGGCCGCTGCGTGGA